TTCCTGAATTCATTCTCTCATATAATACTTGTCAAATATAGCCAACAGTAATCAACATACTCTCTTAATAGTAGTCCATGTTTCCACTTGAGCTATAAATTATTGTGCTATATCTCCTGTCTACTGAGATAATTAGGTGATAGCTTTGCCAATAATTTCAGCACTATAATGAGTTGCTCTCCTTTGAGCTGCCGCACCTCCGGTTTTTGTTTGCTTGCTTATTTTCTTCCACCCAGCTCCTAAACCTTTTTCATATATTTTAGGTCTCTTGATGGCAGAATCCCACTTTTGGATTCTACCTGGACTAAGCTAGGGTAATAGCTAGCTAGATAATGCTTTAATATCAAACAACCCAAGATCTAAGCAGCCTTCAGGTCACATTCTGTGTAAGGTTAAATAAAAAGATGTGTCAAAAATAAATTCACTGCTGACCCAGAGAGATAGTGCAGGGGTTAAGGCGATTACTTTGCATGCCACTAACCCCAGTTCAATCCTTGGTACCACATATGGTCCCTGAGCACTGCCAGGAGGAATCCCTGAGCACCACCAGGTGTGGCCCAAGCCCCCTTCCCCCTTCCCCCTATTCGTCCACTGCTTCTCCTGTGGGATCCAGGTTGGAGTGGTGATAGACAGTCACCTGAAGCCTGATGCTCCCTCTGGCAGAGGAAGAGAGGTGTGGAGTTTCTCCTGTTGGGTGAAGACTGCCCGTGCTGTCTGAGCACCGTGCTTGCTCAATGTGTTGTCTAAAGGCCTTAGTAGCCCCTCAGCCCAGGTCAGGAGCCGGCAGGGTTAGAACACGTGCAGAAGACCAAGAGCCAGTGATCTCTGGACAGAACACATTCGTAAAGACGGCCTTGAACACATCTTTCTGCGTCTCTGCTGGCTTACTCTCTCACGCCCATGTTCCTTTAAATACATATTCCTTTCCTTCTGCCCTCACATCTTTCCAAGGAAGCTTCATTCAATAAAAATGATCTTGCTTCACTGAGAAAAAAAAAAATACCATGAAACTAGTAATTCTTCATTTTTTTTTTACTGTTTTTTTTCCCCCTTTTCACTTTTTAGGTTTTGTTCATACCCAGCATTTTTCCATCTTTCTTTCTTACTGGTGCCAGAGGTCAAACCCAGGGCCTCACATATGAGGCATGTGCATTATCACTGAGTTAAATTCCTAGCACCCAATTCTTAGCTTTTGCTGATTAATTGAATTTTATTCTCTCTCATTCCTTGCCTAATTTGAGATAATCATTGTACGTTTATTTGATAATATTTGTAGTAATTGACATTATTTCCTTGGGTTAGAACTTTGGCACATTCTGAACAGAGCCACTAATATTTTCCTACTTAAAGTATGAAGTGCGAAATGGTATGCAAAGGTAAAGGTAAAGGTAAAGGCCCTCCCGTTGATCGTCGATTTGCTCGAGCGGGCCCAGTAACGTCTCCATTGGAGACTTTGTTGTTACTGTGTCTGGCATATCGAATACTCTCGGTAGCTTGCCGGGCTCTCCGAGAGGGGGTATGCAAAAACATGCTTTAAACAGTGGCCAGATAGTACAGCGGTTAAGGGGTTTGCCTTGCACATGGTTGAACCTGGTTCAATCCCCTGCACCGTATAAAACTGCCATGCATGGTACAAAGGGAAAGAAAAAAGATGTGTTTTACATAAATAATTGAGCTATATTATCTTGGAGTGTTACTTATCATAGTAAGTAGAAAGACTGAGTTTTGGAATCAAGCCTGGAGTCTAGCATGACTTAGATATATAATCTTAGACAAATTATTTAGCCTCTGAGAGGCATAATTTCCACTTATAAATAAAGAGTTTATAAATATATTTAGGAGGCCGATGGTTGTCTTGCACGTGGCTGACCTCAGTTTGAATCCCTAGCACCATTTATGGTCCTCTGAGGATGGTCAGGGCTTACTCTGAGCACAGAGCCAGGAACAGCCCCCTAGCACCACAAGGTGTGGCCCACCCCTGCCCCCACCAAATTCAGATATCAAGCAAAACAGGGTAACAAAACATGTCACCATTCCTTTCTGGAAATGCTCTAAAATAAAGTAAAATAATGGGGTGGGGGACATGTTTGGGTCATCACTGGTGCACAGAGGACCATATGGTGTTGGGGATCAAACCATGGTTGACTTCATTTAAAACAATCTCGTGGTGATTCAATAAAATTTAAAATATATAATAATAATAATAAAGGCCCTCCCGTTGATCATCGATTTGCTCGAGCGGGCCCAGTAATGTCTCCATTGGAGACTTTGTTGTTACTGTGTTTGGCATATCGAATATATAAATAATAAATAAAAGAAATAAAACAAGTACCCTTAAAACAAAACAACCCCAAAACAAGAGTAAAATGAGTGCCCCTGTAATCCAGCCTATAAAATAATTTTTGAAAAATTAAATCCATAAGTGCAAATAAAATGGAAAACAACAGAGCAATGATAAAACATACCAAACTCTTGTTGCTATAATCATAACAATGTAAGCAAAAAAGCACTTAACAAAAAGTTGTACTACTATACTGGAAGGAAAAAGAGAGAATTGGGAACAATAAGTTAACAAAAACTGTAGTGTGAAATCAGTGATATCTGAAAATGTCAAATTGTTAACCAAGAAATATGATCATATTATTTGGAAATATAGACTCAGTAAGGGGGTGGGAGGGCTGGAGGGATGGATAGGACAGTGAGTAGGGCGCTGGCCTTGCACACAACTGACCCAGATTTGATCCCTAGCACCTTGTATGGTCCCAGGAGTGATCCCTGGGAACGGAGATAGGAGTAACCCCTGAGTACCGCCAGGTATGGGACAAAGCACTGTACACTGTCCTCCCATTGTTCATCGATTTGCTTGAGCGGGCACCAGTAACATCTCCATTGTGAGATTTCTTGTTACTCTTTTTGGCATATCAAATACACCACAGAGTGCTTGCCAGGCTCTGCCGTGCAGGCAGGATACTCTCGGTAGCTTGCCAGGCTCTCTGAGAGGGACGGAGAAATCGAACCTGGGTTGGCCATGTGCAAGGCAAACGCCCTACCCACTGTGCTAGCGCTCCAGCCCATGGGACAAAAACAAAGCAAAAAAAAGGGACTGTAAGAGGATGACTAAAATAATTGAGTAGAATTCAGATGGAATAGAAGGTAACTGTTTGGAAACCTGTTTTGACACTTTGCAATGTATTTTATAAATGAAAATATGCTTTAATCCTTCTTAATTTTTCTTTTTGGTCCACGCTTAGCAGTGCTCAGGACTGACTCATCACTCTGCACTCAGGGGTCATTTCTGGCAGGACTTTGGAGGGGGTGGGGAATCCTATGGTGTGCTGGGGATTGAGCCTGGGTCAGCTATGTGCAAGGCAAGTACCTAACCTGCTGTACTATCTCTCCGCCCTCTTTCTTTTAGTGATTCACTGTCACTGTCACTGTCCTCCCGTTGTTCATTGATTTGCTCAAGCGGGCCCAGTAACATTGTGAGACTTGTTACTGTGTTTGGCGTATTTTTTATAAAATTGAGAATGTATTTAAAATTAAACCCCAGAGTTTTGTGGTGGATATTAAGTTGAAATAATAATAAGCACCTTTTATAATGTCTGTGCATAGTGCAGGCAAAATATTCATTAAGCCTTACTTTCCACCAGAGTATGTGCTTGCAGTAATATTTATGACTCAGAGGTTAGGTGGTTGGCTAAACAGAAATGTGAGGTATGTCACAAACAAATTGTGTGCCCTTCTGGTCTTTTTTTTTTTGTAATGGATTGCTTTATTTTTCTTGGAACCCTATCAGTCTGATGGTTACTATTTCTTAGAATTTAGATATCTGTAAAACTGATACATGAAAATTCACCCAGATATTGGCAGGTCCAGTTAGTTTTGCATAGAGCAAACTTAAAAATATTTAGCAACTTTGAAATTACTCTAATAAACTAAGAACAGCGTCTAGTGTTTTGTATGTGCAGGGGCTGGAGCAATAGCACAGTGGGTGGGGTGTTTGCCTTGCACGAGGCTGACCAGGGTTCGATTCCCATCATCCCATATGGTCCCCAAAGCACTACCAGGAGTAATTCCTGACTGCAGAGCCAGAAGTAACCCCTGAGCATCGCTGGGTATGACCCAAAAAGCAAAATATAAAATTTAAAAAATAGAATTTTGTATGTGCGCCTGAGCACACACAGTTTTTAGATTTTTTATTTATTTATTTTAGTTTTCGATTTTTTAAAGCTAGCGGCATTTGTTCTCTCTTCTGTCGTTATATCAGTTAGCTGCTTTATTTTCCCGGCCCACAGTGTTTAGCCCACCACCACCTTCATTCTGGAAACTCTCAACGTGGGGGACCGTGGTGACCCATAATGACAAGAAAGCCAGTAGATGTAAAACTCTTCAAACAAAAAAAAACTCTTCTGTGCTTCCTGCATGGCATATAATTCTTTTTTTTTTTTTATCTTTCTTCCTGTTTCGGAGCCACAGCTGGTAGTGCTCAGGGGTTACTCCTGGGGTTCAGGGGACCATGTGGGATGCTGGGGATTGAAACTGGGTCGGCTGTGTGCAAGGCAAGAAAGTTACCCACTGTCCTGTCTCTCTGGCCCCATGACATGTACTTCTTACAGACTGAGACCATATGCTCTGCCACATTCTGCCTCACAGTACTGTGGATAATGAGTCGATGCAAAATCAGATACTTATTTAGTCATCAAATAGACATTGAACATCTAGGGAAAAAAAACAACACTATGCTAAGCTCTAAGCTCTTAGTGAACTAGACTTGATAACAGTTGCTATCTTACAATTTATGTTTAGCAAAATATTTGTTGAGTTCATGTAAGCCAATAAAATAATGGTCTACTATGGTGACCCAATTAAACAGGATAGAAAATTGTTTACTAAAGAATTGAATCACTTAAGCTCTGTTTGTTTTCTAATGTAGGTTCACGGTATAAGAAGGAAGTGGTATCTGATCTTTTTTCTCTCTCTCTCTTTGTTTTTCTTTGTAGATAAGATGCTCCAAGTCGCTTGCAGCTGTCTTCAGAAGAAAAATCACTAGCGCCCTGCTCTTGCCATCAAACCAGACCTTCTTGACTTACGCTTTGGTGCTGCAACACTGGAAGACTTGCACACAGGTTCCAGGAATCCATTCTTTTTCATGTGATTGCTTCTTTGTGAATGAAAAAAAAAAAAATTGAGTCTTACTGTTTAGAGCAAGTTCTCTTTAGTTGGAACTGCTTAATCAATTGGGCCGCTTACCAATGAGCCAGTCAGCCGGTTCTTGTCAGGAACTGGCTGAAAACTGTGCTGCGCATGCAGTGGGGATGGCACAAGAAGAGAGCTGTCGCGGTCAGGTGCCGTCGACCTTTTATCATGGTGCCAGCCAAGAACTTGACCTGTCCACCAAAGTGTACAAGCGGGAGTCAGGAAGTCCCTATTCTGTGTTAGTGGACACCAAGATGAGCAAGCCGCATCTCCATGAAACAGAGGAACAGCCGTATTTCAGGGAGACAAGAGCCGTGTCTGACGGGCGCGCTGGCAAAGACCAGGAGAATTCTGATGACACAGAAGAAGAGGAAGAGGAGGAGGAGGAGGAGGAGGAGGAGGAAGTCTCTTACAAAAGGGAGCAGATCATAGTGGAGGTAAACCTTAATAATCAAACATTAAATGTCTCTAAAGGGGAAAAGGGTGTCTCTTCTCAGTCCAAAGAGACTCCTGTTCTTAAGACGAGCAGTGAGGAGGAAGAGGAGGAGAGCGAGGGAGAAGCCACCGACAACAGCCACGACTATGGAGAGAATGAAAGGCAGAAGAAAAAGGAGAAGCGCGCGGAGAAAGTCAGTGTCACGCAAAGGAGAACCCGGAGAGCTGCCTCGGTTGCCGCGGCTGCCGCTTCCCCCACGCCCAGGACGACCCGCGGGAGCCGGAGGAAGAGTGTCGAGCCCCCGAAGCGGAAGAAGCGGGCTACCAAGGAGCCCAAAGCTCCAGTTCAGAAAGCTAAGTGTGAAGAGAAAGAGACGCTGACCTGTGAGAAGTGCCCCCGGGTGTTTAATACTCGCTGGTACCTGGAGAAGCACATGAACGTTACTCATAGGCGCATGCAGATTTGTGATAAGTGTGGCAAGAAGTTTGTGCTGGAAAGTGAGCTGTCTCTTCACCAGCAGACAGACTGTGAAAAAAATATTCAGGTAGGTCTCACCACCGAGAGGGCAAACTTTCCAGGCTAGAACCTGGCCATTCAGACTCATCTGGTATCTGCCCAAGAGAATAAATACCGTAGAGGCCGAAAGGACAGATTTCGCCAGTTTATCCTTTCAAAAGCTCCTGCTTTGGCCTTTCCAAACCCAGTCTTAACACATTATTTCAAAGCATTAAGTTTAACTGCCGCTGGACTAGCGAGAGCCCAGGTGCAATGGAAGGGAGACGTGTTCTAGGCCAGGGGTAAAGTCAGCACTGACTTTGCACCGAGAGTCGCTGTTGTAGCACACGCAGGAGAATTTATTCTGGCGTCTTCTCCATCAAGGTGGGAGATGTCGAGTCAAAGGTCAGGAGTAGAGAGTGGTCCCTTGCTAGATTTTCAGGGAAGCCAGATTCTAGTGCAGCTGATGGGGACCACAACTATAAGGACTCAGACCGGTGGAAATGGAAGATCTCCAGGAGTGAGTTTGCTTTTACCAGTGGAGAGATGACAACACTAAATTTGTCAAGAGGCTGAGCCCATGGGAAAGTGCAAACATAACCAGAGGCTGAGCTGGTTGGAAATGGTGCCCGCCTGGCAGTAGGGTTACGCTATGCTACTGCACGGTATCGATAAGGTAACAGAATGTGATGTTCAAACCAGGTTGGCATCTCGAGAGAACTGTGTTGTGGTGGGTTAAGTGGTGTGCTCACTACCATATCTTCTTGCGTGGATTGTTATGGTGTGCTATGTTGGTTTGCACTTGTGATTGCGTACTAGTGAATATTCACAAAAGGTAAGTTAATGTCTCCAAAAGCTATGTAAATAGAACTTTTCATGCCACATTTAAGCTCAACTTTCTTTTAAAAGTTGAAACTGTTTTGGTTTATTTTCTCGAATACTTTTTTTCTTTTAATTTCCTCTTCTAATCAACAGGTTTTGAGTTTTTATATTTTTAACAGATGTCATATTTGCTGAAAATTAACAGCTTTTTTGTTCATCAGTTGTTGCTTGCTCTCCAACACACTGGGTTGAGAAAGGAAGACTGAATTGCAATGTCTGTGCCCTCCAGTGTACAGGGTGAATTGGTTGCTGCGTTCAGGCAGATGGCGCACATGGCACAGTACTGCCCCCTAGGGGTCAGGTTTAGGCATGGTCGTGAGTCATTGCTGTGTATCACCGTTTTTAAAAGTTTTTAATAGTTTTAATAAGTTTTTACATTTAAGTTTGCTTTACTAAAGTTGCAGAAAATAAAACATTTTGAAAATCATTTTTGGAGGAGGGTAACTTTTCTTACTATTTCCTTACCATTAGGTGTTTAAACTGGGTGGATAGGTTTTGTGGATTCTATTAAATGGACTCTCTTTAGATTTCTGAAGACTGCCATGCTGTATTCTCACAGGGAGATCCTGATAGTCTAATAACAAGTGAAAGTTAGAACCCCCTGGGTAGAGTGGCTTACAGGAAGAGTATTTTCTTGAGCAATGTTCAGTGAGAAGCTCATCTTTTTTATGTTTTCTCTGGATCCTGTTTTCTAAAGTCAGAGTGGTTTTCAAAGGTTTTTCAGTGAATTCTAGTTTTTCCCTTCAGAATACCAAAGAGTGACAGTTCCCTAGAACTCTCTCATATTAATGTTGTTTTGGCCAAAAAGTATTTCATTTTGACACACAGACTGCCATATATTTTATGCCAGTGGTTTTCAGCTCTCATCCCTGACTCTGCCCCCCTCTGCAGGTATAAGAAGGTTGAAAACCTCTGGTATAGGTCCCTCCTGGTTCCTAGTACCAGGCACTGGGCAATGCTGTGTGTGTTTCCTCTTGATGCATTCAAGAAAGCTCTGAAGCTGGGCTTAAAGGGAAGGAAGATAAAGATGCTAATAGCATAGAGATTATACTCTGCCAGAGGGAAATGCTTAGTACAGTAAATTAGATTTGGGAGAAATATAGTAAAATCTCAGTAATGTAAGTTGATGAAGGCTCCACATGTGTTATGTACCACCTGAGGTACAAAGTCATTTTTTTTTTGCTTCTGTTGATCTCTGGCCCTTATTATTTGTTTTTATTTTTGCTAATTTAAAATGAGTCTGTGTTTCCGGATAAGCGCCTGTTAGCAGCATAATGACCCACGTTTGACAGGTAAGCACTGTTGTTAATTCAGATATTTAAGAAATTGGAAGTTTCCTTCATAGGGACAGTACTGATGGATCAATGCAGTCAGTTCTTTGCCATTAATAAACTTGCCATTCTTTCTTGCCTTGCTTTTTGACATTGTTTCCATACTTGTAAAATTCTCTAAAAGATGTGCCTTGGACAGTAGACTCTAGAGGTGTGGGTATTGGAATCTGAACTCCTTGGAGAAATAGTTTGGATTTTGCCCTGTGCCACCCGACGCTAACGCAAACCCCCTTCATCTGCCAGGAGGCAGGCGTGGCCTTCTGCTAGCCCCTGTACATAAAGACTGTTTCTATTTATCCTGTTCAGTGTGTGTCCTGTAACAAGTCATTCAAGAAACTCTGGTCCCTTCATGAACATATCAAGATTGTTCATGGATACGCAGAAAAGAAATTTTCCTGTGAAATTTGTGAGAAGAAATTCTATACCATGGCTCATGTGCGGAAACACATGGTTGGTGAGTTCTTCCTGCTGTTCCCTTGCCCCTCAGTGTGCTTCATGCTCCGGACGGGGCGGGATACGAGGCACGACCTTCCTTTCCTGGGCTCTGACCCAGGAAGCCTCACCAGCCTGCTGGTGTGCGGGCCCATGGCGAGCAAGCAAGTTTCACCCCGTCCCACATGGTGCTTTGTTCCCCTCCCGGAACACCACAGGCACGCGCAGCCTCACAGAGGAGCAGGGAGACGGTCTTGGGCACTGAGTTACCACCCGACGCCTGTCTTTTGTCGTCCGGGCTTCCGGGTGCTTATTTTGAAAATAAGTGTACTCTGTGTTGCAGCGCACACAAAAGACATGCCCTTTACATGTGAGACCTGCGGAAAATCCTTCAAGCGTAGCATGTCCCTCAAGGTGCACTCCTTGCAGCACTCTGGAGAGAAGCCCTTCAGGTGTGAGGTAAGGGGCGTGCAAGCCCTGCGATCGGCCCCCATGTGTGTGGTGAAGCAGGGCAAGAGCGGTGGTCTGTGTGTGGCTCAGGGAGCTGGCCACAGGCCGGTGAACCAGCGGGGGCCCACTCTTGAGTGCCATGCGTCACCACATGGTGAAGTAGTGACTTGGGATCATTTATTGTTATTTTTTTTTTCTTTTTGAGTCACACCCAGTTATGCTCAGGGGCTGCTCCTGGCTCTGCACTCAGGAATTACTCCTGGCAGTGCTTGGGGGACCGTATAGGATGCTGGGGATTGAACTCGGGTCGGCCTTCTGCAAGGCAAATGCCCTACCCACTATACTATCGCTCCGGCCCTTGTTCATCATTATTTTTCGCCCTGCATGGAATAGTGCTCAGGAGTCCACCAGGGTCATGCCTGGCAACGCTCAGGGGCCATGCCATGTTAGGGATCCAACTCAGGGCTTTGAGTGTGCCAGCTGTACACTCCCCACAACCTCCCTTGGAAGCTATTTCCTTGGCCCTTTTATTCTGTTTTGTTGTGCTGAGGATCCAACCCAAGGCCTCACACATGCAAGGAAGGCTCTCTACATTCCTTGCCCCAGAAGTTGACATTTTTTTAACAGTCTGTTCTCTCTTAGGTTAAATTTAGGAATAGCGTCCTTTGAGTTATTCTTCCTTTCAGGGAGGTTGGGTGTGCTTTGGTGATAATTATATGAGAACATTTCCTTTTATTTGTTTGCTTTTGGGGGGGTTGGCCACACCCAGTGGTGCTCAGGGAATGCTCCTGGCAGGCTCAGGGGACCATATGTGGTACTGAAAATCAAACCCAGGCTGGTCACATGCAAGGCACATGTTCTGCCCACTATGTAACTCTCTAGCCCAGTTCCTTTTTATTTGTCACTGAGCTGCAGAAATAGTTGACAGAAGCAGATTTTAGTGTGAAAACTGGAGCAGGTCTCCAGGACTCTGTAGGATGGGCTCAAGAAAAGCTCCTCCCAGCGACTATTCTCAGGTCTCCTTTGTGTCCCATGCAGAATTGTGATGAAAGGTTCCAGTACAAGTACCAGCTGCGCTCCCACATGAGCATCCATATTGGACACAAGCAGTTCATGTGCCAGTGGTGTGGCAAGGACTTCAACATGAAGCAGTACTTCGACGAACACATGAAGACACACACTGGTGAGAACTGGTCGGGAACAGGACTGGAGGTTTCAAGCATTTATGGATGCTCGTCTTTGCATCCATTTATTTAAAAATCTAAACCACAAAGCTCCATTCTAAGTGAAAATTCTACTTTAAGTAAAACTGATTAGGCCCTTGTAAGTATTTTTAAGCGAGTTGTTGTACTTATTTACTTGGGGAATAGGAACTCCTGAAATTGTATACAACTTGCTTTATGTATTGGCTTTTGTTGTTTTTTTAATTTTTTCCTAAGGAAAAGATTCCAGACCTTTAAGAACTAGAGAATACTGCTTGAACTAAAATAGCTTCTCAATATTTTTTTAATAGCACAGCGGGTAGGGCGTTTGCCTTGCAAGTGGCCAATATGGCCGACCTGAGTTCAATTCATCTGCCCCTCTCGGAGAGCCCGGCTAGCTACTGAGAGTATCTTGCCCGCACGGCAAAGCCTGGCAAGCTACCTGTGACATATTCGATATGCCAAACACAGTAACAGTTGTCACAATGGAGACGTTACTGGGCCTGCTCCAGCAAATCGATGAACAATGGAAGGACAGTGACAGTGACAGTACTGAATTTGATTTACCAAAAGTCACTACTTTACGATTACCTCTAAATAAGGCTAAAATAATTTTTAACTGCTTTGTATTTAGAGGTATATGTTCCGTAGCATGGATCTGAATCATGGAAACCTTTGATTATCCAACTGGCTAAAGTAATAATTATCATCATTTCTTAGTCTAAATTTGCCTTTGTTGGATCAACTCTGTACACAGACTGAACAGTAACAAGCATTTTCCAGCATTCTAAGTAAACTCTTACTGTAGAATTCTAGATTCTGTTAGTCTGTCGAGTAGCAGGGCTGCCGAGAACCACAAGAGATGATATACTGTGTTGCACACTGGTTTCCTGAGTTGGGGCAGACACAAGCCTAGAGCAGCAGAGTCACTGCAGCTGCTCCTGCCCATGTACAGTACTGACCACTCAGGGGACAAAGGATGAGTGATCACCTGCTGCTTCTGCTGCTTCTCTGAGGTTTTTGTTGTTGCCGAGTTTTTTTTTTTGTTTGTTTTTTGCGGGGGTAATGCTCAGGGGTTACTCCTGGCTCTGCATTCACGAATTACCCCTGGTAGTGCTCAGGGGACCATATGGGATGCTTGGGATCGAACTTGGGTCGGCTGCATGCAAGGCAGGTGTCCTATTCTGGCCCACACTTGCTTCTTTTGCTTTTCCTTGCTAAAGGAGACTATAGTTCAAAAGTAGTGATGGTGATAAGAGTAAGAGTAAGGTCCTCCTGTTGTTCATCGATTTTCTCGAGCGGGCCCAGTAACGTCTCCATTGGAGACTTTGTTGTTACTGTGTTTGGCATATCAGTATGTCATGGGTAGCTTGCCAGGCTTTGCTGTGCATTCAAGATACTCTCGGTAGCTTGCCGGGTTCTCCGAGAGGGGCAGAGGAATCGAACTTGGGTCGGCCATGTTGGCTGCGTGCAAGGCAAACGCCCTACCCGCTGTGCTATCTCTCCTGCCCGGTGATGGTGGTAATAATGATACTTTATTTAAAACAGCAGTGGTTAAAATAACATTGTCTGCCACTCTACCAGGTAATGCTCCAAACATTTTTTCTCTCCCACTTATCACAATGACCTACTATTATTACCTTCATTTTTCAGGTGAGGCGGCTGAGGTTCAGAATTTAAATAATTTTTCCAAGGCCATGTGACTGACACCACATACTTAATGATTTTAATATAAATTTTCTGTAGCATGTCATATAATAGAAGGAAACATGGACATGGAGACATTGTAAGAGCAAAAGGCACCAGCCTGTAGCCTGGTTCTAAGCTCCCGGGATTTTTCAGGATACTGCTCAAGCAGATCAGGATCAAAGTCAGCATGTGCTAAATAGTATTCATTCCAGTTCATGATATGTAAATAAAATTGCTTATTTTATTTGTAGTGCAAAGTTGAAAAGTCTGTGTGGTTAGTACGTTAGAACTCACAGCAGTGTATTCTGCTTAAGGGAAAATTTGTATTACAAGGTAAAATATGTTAAGGAGTTGTTAGGGCCAGGGAATTACAGCCAAGGAAGATAATGGAGTGATTTCAGTGACAAGTAGCATATTTTGCCAAATCTAGTAAGCTTCAGTTATAAAACAAACTTGACTTACTGCTTAAAAAACGTTCAACTTAAATCCTGACCTGGCATTTATTATACGGCATATGCCAGTCTTAGAGTTAGTGATTATTTCTAGCTAAAGAGATAAGAGACTGGGTATGGTGCTTGTCTTGAACAGCACCAACCTGGATTCAATTGCCAACACCCTATGTAGTTCCTCAAACCTTGCCAAGAGTTATCTCTGAGCACAAAGCCAGGAATAAGTCCTGAGCACTGCCAGGTTTGACATTCTCCAAAAAAAAGAATAAATTTTATGAATATTAATAAAGTTATTAAGAACCCACAAAATGATGCTACTACAGTAAGCAAGAATTAAATTATCCCTAGGTTTACAGAGTTTATAGTCAGATGGTGATTGGGGTGATATATAGGTCAAAGTTTGGTGATAAAAGCGTGAGCATGAAACTGAAAAAATGTTGACCAGAGTTTGATGAAATGGGGCATTGGGGAAGGCATAGCAGGAAATATTTTAAGACATAACATTAGAGAGCCACAAGCAGGTACCGGATTAGTGAGAAGGCAGGATGGGGGGGACAAAACACAAGACGTGTGAAAATGGCTGGCCTTTATTCTATGGACAGTAGAGCATTCTTGAATAGTTTTGGTAGAGCGTGACATAATGTATCTGGAGGGTCGTGTGGAGGTGGGTTAGGTGGATGCACGTGGAGGGGGCTAGAGCCTAGCTGGTGAAGCCAGGCAGGTGGACTTCGCAGTAATGTGGATGGATGGTTGTGATGAGACAGACTGCAGTATTAACAGTGAATAAAATTAAAGTGATGCTGAAATAGAGTTGAACGATCTTGATGGCTGACTGGATTCAGTAGTGTGGGAAGGAAAAATCATAGGTTAATCCCAGATTTAGGTTGTAAATTCTCATCAGCAAAGAGGTAGGGGGCAGGGAAGGTGTAGCAGGTTTGCTGGGTAAGACAGGAGGATTTAATTTTGCTCTGGCAGCTTTTGAGATACCTGTGGGGGCTTTTCAGTGAAGAAGTCCAAAGGCAGTTTGACTGGTGAGCAAAGAGAGAAATTTAAATTTATTTTTTATTTATTTTTTTTTATAATTTATTTCTTTGGGCTGGAGCGATAGCACAGTGGGTAGGGCGTTCGCCTTACAAGCAGCCAACATGGCCAACTCGAGTTCGATTCCTCTGCCCCTCTCGGAGAGCCCGGCAAGCTACCGAGAGTATTCGATATGCCAGACACAGTAACAACAAAGTCTCCAATGGAGACGTTACTGGGCCCGCTCGAGCAAATCGACGATCAACGGGAGGGCCTTTACCTTTTTTATTTCTTTATTGAATCACTGTGGGAAAAGTTACAGAGCTTTCGGGTTTAGGTCTCAGTCATGTAAATATCAAACACATTTCCCTTTACCAATACTTATTTTTAACCGCAAACCCCAATAGAACCCCACCTCCCACCCCTCCCAATTCCTGTGAGGCAGATGAGTTCTAGTTAATACTCTATCTACTTTGACAAGATACATTGTTTCGATAGAAGATGCACAATTATTGTTTAGAGTTTACGACACCCCCCCCAATCAGACATGCTGAAACAGTGTTGTGAAATGATTTGCTTTCTACAACTTGGTTTAAGAATAAAATGTTTTGGATTTCTGCTATTTTACTTATTAACCCTGGAAGAATTTCTATTAAAAGTTAGATAGTTAAGAGATTGGTTTCTGTGCTCTGGAGTCGTGGCCGTGCCGGAGAGCCGCTCGTGGGGGGCAGCTGGCGACCTCGGTCGGGCGTGAAGGACGGCCCATTACGCCCCCCTTCCCATGAGGTCTCTGCCGCTCCCACCCCCGGCTCAAACCTGCTGTCCACAAGGCTCCCGTGCGGCCGCCATCTTTCTTTCCAGAGGGGAGCGGGCGAGTGGAGAAATTTAAATTTAAAGGGTATGAGAGGAATACAGGGTAGGTATGCAGAAGCGGTACCAGTGATACTCTTAGTAAGTGACTAGAATGCAGTGCTTGTTGCCCAGGTTGCTTTTTCCTTTCAACAGTGCAGAAGGAAATTAGCCAGGTGCTTGCTTTATTTCTTCCTCCCAGAAGATTCTCTTTTCTTCATTTATAAAACCTTTTTTTCTTTAGACTCATTCCAGGGCGATTTCTTCCAGTTAGGTTAGCTTTAGCTACATGCAAGAGTTAGGCAGGGAGGGGGCTGGAGAGACAGCACAACGAGTAGGGCGTTTGCCTTGCATGCGGCCAACCCAGGTTCGATTCCCAGCATCCCATATGGTCCCCTGAGTACTGCCAGGAGTAACTCCTGAGTACAGAGCCAGGAGTAATCCCTGTGCATCGCCAGGTGTGACCCAAAAAGCAAAAAAAATAAAGAGTTAGGCAGGGAGCCAGAGAGATAGTACGGCAGGTAGGGTTCTTGCTTTGCATCTGCACAACCTGGATATTATATTTGGCATTCCATAAGGTCCCATGAGCACCACCAGGAGTGATTCCTGAGTGCAGAATCAGGAGTAACCCCTGAGCATCACCAGCTGTGGCCCCCAAAGTGAAACATAACAAAAACTCAAACAAAAAACATCCCTCCCCTCCACCAAAAAAAAAAAAAGAAAATAAAATAATTAGGTCGTATCTTTCCACTTATTATCATACATTCTTTTCCACTTACCTCAATGAACTTAATGGATATAGTAAGATCCAAGAGACTGTTTCCTAGCTCTTAATTAAAATAGGTATTTCTGGGCCAGAGCGATAGTACAGAGGGGCACTTGATTTGTCCATGGCCAACCAGGGCCCATCAGGAGTGATCCCTGAGTGCAGAGCCAGGAGCAAGTCTTGAGCGCCACTGGGTGTGCTGCCCCTTTCCCCCAAAACATCACCAGTCACCAGGCAGGAGTGATCCTTGAGCACAGCCAGGTGTGCCCGTCCCCCCACCCCCCTGAAAAGAATGCTAACAACCCTATCTCATATGGTGGATAGTTGCTGTAAGGGTAATAGGTGGTAAGTGGACTGTCTGCAGAGGAGAAGGGAGCAGTAACTGAAGTGACACGTGGCCCTCCCCAGCCTTCCCTGTGCCCATGGACATTGGGAAATGGCGTGGGGCCATTTTTGACAGTCAGAACCTCCTGGGGTCCTTACGGACACTGGTGCTGAATGACCCTCGATGCCACCTCCCCCAGCTGCTGAAAAGGTTCTGCTGTTGCTCCCAAGGGCACACACACACTGCAGGCTGAGTGGTGCTCTTTGTCAGAAGATGAGGCAGGCTGGGCTTCTGGGCGCCAGAACCAGGAAGCCAGCTCCCTGCTGACGAGGCCCAAGAGACATGCCAGCTCCACCATCTTACTCTGGCTTGGAACTCAGAAGTCGCTCAACAATGACCACGCTTGATTTTTGAGGCAGATTCATCTGTAGTGCCAGTCTCCATCCGCGGGTAGCCTTTCTGCTGGGATGTGCCTGTTCCCTGCCGTTCCATTGCTGCCATGAGCTCCTTCCTGCTGTCCTCTCTCTGGCCCATCACACCCCCTCTTTGTAACCCAAGCCCCTATGGTCGGTCTATGTAAGTCTTGGAGGGTTTTGTTTGTTTTGATTTTTGGCGGCCCCCGGAGATGCTCAGGGGTTCCTCCTGGCTCTGCACTCAGGGAGCACCCCTGGAGGTGCTTGGTGGGGGACCATATGGGATGCCGGGGATCAAACCGAGGTTCGTCTCCTGCCAGGCAAGTGCCCTCCGTGCGGTCCTGTCGCTCCCGCCCCAAGTCAGAGGTGAAGTTTTGCTCCTGTCTGCCCATGTGTGTTCAGTCCCAGCCTGGGGAGTCCCGGCCATGACTCCAGCGCAGGGAAGCTGTGGGACGGGTGCTGATCCATCTCTTGACCTGTGTCCATCCCAGGAGAGAAACCCTTCATCTGTGAAATCTGTGGCAAAAGCTTCACCAGCCGCCCCAACATGAAGAGGCACCGCAGGACCCACACGGGCGAGAAGCCCTACCCCTGTGACGTGTGCGGCCTTCGCTTCCGCTTCTCCAACATGCTCAAGGCCCACAAGGAGAAGTGCTTCAGGGTGACCAGCCCCGTGAACGTGCCGCCGGCCGTGCAGATCCCCCTGACCAGCGCCCCAGTGGCCGCGGCCCCAGCGGCCGTGAACACGCCCGCCGCCCCCACCCCACCGCTCAACATGAACCCCGTGAGCACCACGCTGCCCCCGCGGCCCCTGCCGCACCCCTTCTCGCACCTGCACATCCACCCGCACCCGCACCCGCACCCTGCGCACCACCTACCCATCCCGCCCGTCCCGCACCTGCCCCCGCCGCCCGCTCTCTTCAAGAGCGAGCCTTTAAACCACCGGGGCCAGGGCGAGGACACCTTCCTGCGGCACCTGGCCGAGAAGAACAGCTCGGGCCCGCACCACTAACGCCCGCACCTGGGTCCCCACGCGTGCACGCGCGCTGCCCCGCGGCTCCCGCTGCTTGCAGGGGTCGCGGGGGCGACCGCCCCGCCGTTCCCTCCTGTCCTCGGGAGAAGCAAGAAGACTACCTACCGCTCAGGAGGGCACGGCGGGCCAAACCAGGGGAGCCACCCGGCGCAAGGCCGCGGCGCTTTGCATTTTCTGGTCGGACTTTTATAAATTTGGAATTCGCAGACCTGCAGGATTTTATAATTTCATATCAGCTGATGAGGTATGCTTGCTTTTATATCCTCGACTTCCCCTCAAAGAGGGGTTAGGCCTGGTCTCCTTTGTACTAATCGGAAAGGCTGTGAGATTAATCCAGAGCATTAATTGTATCCCTGTGTATCGTAATGAAATCCTTCTCTCATCTCTTGGTGCTGGCCTCCCAGGCTGAGCTAGCCGTGTTTCACAGTATATCAAGCATTATAGAGGAAAATGGGAATTTTCTCCTTGGTGTAGCTCTCCTAACGCACTCTTTATTTTACTACAGAAATTATTTTAGAGTTTTTTTGTATAGACTTCTTTAGTAGTCAGTTTCTAAAACAAAATGTATTTCAATAAGCGGTGTAATTTTTTCAGTGTAGCTGGACCTATGTTGTAAAATAGAAAAAAAAATGTTTTTATAATCATAAAAATGTGATTCTTAAAGATGCATATATAACTTCTATAGTTTAAAAGTTATCCTTCCATCCGTACAACTCAAAGGTGCTTCAGAGACTGTGCGTATCTGAGAGGGTGTCCAGGTCACTGCAGAAATTGAGGTTTTGCCTCTAGAACTTGGCATAAGTTCTTAGTAGTATTTAAAATCTCTGCTTAATGCTCAGAATGTCTCGGGGCTGGAGAAATAGCTCAAAGGGCTAGTGTGCATCTTTTGTATGTGGGAGGCCCAGGTTCAATTCCCAACACCACATGGTTCCCCAAGTCCTGCTAGGAAGCAGGGAATAGCCAACCCCTGAGCACTGCTGGGTGTGGACCAAACCGCCACCCATTCTCAAAAAAAAAAATTTCTTTTTCATTTATGGGGCCAGAGAGATAGTACAACTGGTAAGGTGCTTGTCTTGCACATATCCAACTTGAGTTCAATCCCTGGCACCCCATGTGGTCCCCTGAACCCACCAGGAGAAAGTCCTGAGCACTGCCAGGTGTGGCCCCAAAACCAAAAAAAAAAAACAAAACAAAAACAAAAAACAAAGCTCAGTGGTCTGGCTCACTGACATACTTCTACCCTCCATGTTCTACTTGGTTCAGTTATTGTGGTAAATGGAATGCTTGGCAGAGGGTTGGACCTTTTCCAGCAAACGCTCACATTTTTTCAGCGTCAGCTAAATGTCGGCCAAAGCTTGCACTCACTGAAAAATCTGAATGTCTCCGTCGACAATCTAGAGGAGGAAGTAGTGGGGATTGTCTCATCTCAGTCACAGCTGTGACCAGGCCCAGCTTTTGGGAGGATGCCTCGATGAAGCCGCGTGACACTGCACATTCGGAGATGGCCTGGGCTGGTAGAAGTGCTGGGCAAATGAACGAAGTACACTGCAAGCACACCCTCGATGTTGTCGGGCGGAGCACAGACGCGTGCAGGCAAACACAGTTGGATTCCGAGTTCTTAAGTGTTGTAGCACTGGACTTAGCCACAGCTTTGAGCAGTTGGAACACAGTTGACACTGCAGTGAGGGAAAGAAAACACGGCAGCAGCAGCATCACGAGTGACAAGTAGAGCAGGGCTGCTGAAGCGATTGGGTAGGTTGCTGTTTCCACTTTGGGGAGCATGATCAAGAGCCTTTTATAGGAAAGAATAAACAGAAGGGCGAACATTTTGGGAATATTTAACAGGTCAAATTTTTTCACATTAAATATGGCTGAAATTTTTTTTGTTGTTTTTAATAGACAACAGAATTCCAAACTTAGGTCTTCTCTGTATCTTTCTTAATCTTGAAATTCCTTTATTTTCCTTCCCTTGGGCTCTTCAGCCATTGCCTGCATCAGAATCTTGGCCTTTATTTAATATTAAATGTGCAGATATGCTTCAAGCACTTCCCCCGGCAGATTATCTTTGTGATAGGAGAAATACGGAAGTCTTTCAGTGGAAGTTAAAGAAGTCCCTGTTTTTTAAAGTACCATTCTCTGTTCACTTTTTTGGCTTAATATTTCCAGATTGTTTTTCCTTCTGATTATTGCCTTTGTTTCTTGGATAATAAGCATAGGAAAGTTTTGGAGAGAGGCAGGAAAATATCTCGACCATATTTTTCTTCCTGGTTGGTGGATATTAGTTCATGGGAATGTTATTTTTAAGTCTTTGTATGCTTTCATTGAACATTCAGGTACCCCAATCAATAAGGAAAGTTGATTATCTGTTTATGAATTAATCTTTAGTGGCTGCCTCCCCTTTTCCCACAACCTCTTTTGCATTCCACAGCAAGTGTGTGAATTTATACACGAGCTTTATAAAAACATATCATTACTTCATGGTCAAAGCATGTAATATTAAGAGGATTTTGAAAAACAGTGTAAATTGCAGCTTAGTTATTTTTCGTTCTAAGCTAATCTACAATGTTAGGCCGCAGTTCGGAATTCTAGACTTGAGACCAGTGAATGGACCATTTCATGAGATGGACTTTAGTTGTACTCTGGGAAATTCAGGTAGTCATCTTTGTCATTCAAGTGAATATAGCCATAAGAAAACCTGTGACATAGGAAAACCAGTATTAAGCAAATAATCACCACCACCCTTAACAGAAGCAAAAAGAACTTAAAAAGAAGTCACTGTTGTACACAATACAGATAGGTCAAAGGTATTGTGAAGCTATGTGGAAACTTCCCCCACCCTTATTCCACACACCCCCGGACAAGTACATCCTCCACGGCTTGGCATTTGTGGTCTTCAGGAAAACTGCTCACAATTTAGTGGCTCCTCTGCCGTGTCCTATGACAAGGGAAGAATAAAATGCATTAAGAATATTTGTAATGTTTCTGCTTCTGAATATTAAGAACTGCAGGATTAAGCCTTAACTGTAAATGTGCATCAGGTTTAACATGCTTAAGACTCAAACTCAGGGTTGAAAATGTGTTGGGGGTCCCATACTAAGACAAAAGGGGCATTCTGTGGCGTTTTCCCCTGCCTTGCTGTGGTGGTACGGAACCCCGTGGAGTTCCTCCCAGCTACTTGCTCTCTCAGCTTGAAAATTTGAGCTATGGAGGAGTTTGAGTTCTCAGTCCTTATCAGTCCTTAACTAAGCCTTTCAAAGGCAGTGGGGCCTCCTGTTTCAGCTTTATGTTAGTATCACATTGAGGTTGCTTCATGTTACTGAATTTTACGGTCCTCAAAGGCTCGCAGCGTTACGAGGGTTAAGGATTTTCTTAAGAAAGATATTCCGGAGGGTGTTTTGAGTTGACTTTGCTCTTCCCTGTCCCTGCCCCCTTATATTTTTTTGTTCTTTTCTTGGACATTCATCATACCAATGTAAACTCTTCCTTAGCCATAATGAAAGGCTGTTTGCTGCTTTTCTGAGTTTGAGTCTTATTGGGCTCAGACTGAGTTTGATTTTAAAATTTGAATGAACAAAGTAAGATGGACGGTTCTAAAGGCATGTGGTTTCATTTTCACCTATATTTGTGATTTTGGTTCTTAATTTTAGCAAGCAGGGAGGTCCACTGATAAACCTTTATTACATGGTAGTTCAAAGAAACCTTTGCGAATCAGTTACATATGCTTTAAAGTCTGTCATTTACATTAACTATTCTAAATTAATGACTGAGTATGGACACTACCATAGTTGTACCAAGATGTTAAGTACTACATTTGTTGCCTGTACCTTTTCATTGTGGTTAGAATGCTCCCTATAATTGGATTATTCCTAGTATACTAACTGAAGGCAAAAATGCTCTGAAGAGATGCTTGTAAACTTTGAATTTGCTTCTTCTTAATTTTTTTCCTGTTTGTTAAATGGCTATGTATGTTTAGTTTGATTTCACTGGAAGTTTTAAATTTTGAGAAGATCAAGCAGAAATAGCTATCCATGGCGAGTATAAATATATCTACATGTAGGTATAGAAATATAGCCCATCTTGCAGATTTTTGTTAGCAAAACAAATGGTAGAATGGGTTTTATAGTTAAAAATAAAAAGAGAAGAAACCTGAAGTTAAAGAAACCCTTTTGTTTGAGCTACTGTGTAGAAAAAATGACTTGTATTACATTGCTGATCTATGGACATTTCAAGGCTGTTCTAGACTGTATTGGACATATGCCATGAAAAAGGGAGTAAGTTACACTTAAGGATTTTATTGGCTAGGGGCTGGAGCGATAGCACAGCGGGTAGGGCGTTTGCCTTCTACGCGGCCAACCCGGGTTCCATTCCCAGCATCCCATATGGTCCCCCGAGCACCGCCAGGAGTAATTCCTGAGTGCAGAGCCAGAAGTAACCCCTTTGCAATGTTGGGTGTGACCCCCCCCAAAAAAAAAGATTTTACTGGCTATCTGCCATTACAAACAAACTTGGAATTCTTCAGACTAAAAAATTGAGCAAGTAAATAGTGGGTTTTAATTTTCCTTTGCTGAAGTCAAGATAGAAAATTTCCCAAAAGATAATTTTTTTCAGGAACGAAAGGTCACGAGCCATTAGAGATGGTGGCATTATTATGCAATAACAACAACCCCCACCCCCCACTTACCTGCTTCTGTCATCATAGCGTTTATAATATATAATGGTGACCTTCTAACCCTGGACACTACCTCGAGAAAGCAAACCAGAGATCCTCTCTACATTTTGTATGGAAGCCATAAAAATTGCCATCAATATATCCACTTTCATAGTTCTATACTTTTATACTCTGACTTTTTATAGACTTTATTATCAGATGCTTTCTGTTTTAGAGGATAGGTTTTGCAAGATTCAAAGGAAAATCAAACTCCTTGGTCATGCCACCTTTGAAGCTTTAGCTTCAGTAAATTTGATTAAAGAACCACATGACGTACCTCTGATTGACTTCTTCATT